CCCTGTCAGAGTGCTCTCACTCTGCAGTGAACACACTGGCAAAGGCCAGGATTTCTGTGTTTGACTGTGAATTCCTTCCCTGACAAAATGTTTTCAGGAGTTACCACACCTCTGCCACCCATATTCTGCTAAAAAAGGGGCATTTCAATTTCCACAAGAGCACTGCAAGTAGCATGTAAAGGTAAAACAAGAGTGGATCATCTACCAGAGGTTATGGCTTATTCTAGGTTTCATTTTATGGTATTTGAAGCAGTAAATTCAGAAGTGACTTATCTAAAGCAGCTGCACAGGCAAAGTAAACTGTTTCCTGTGTTAATCCCTAATGAGAAAAACTGCCCCCTACCATCACATTAAATATTTCAAGCCACCTCCCCATGATAAATTTGCATCAGGTGCAATGTATTACATGTCACTCCTGAGAGTTTGTCAGCAAAACCCAACAAACAGGTTTGCACTTTCTCATCTATTCTGAGCCCTCTTGTTTATTTATTCTTACATGTACAAAGATGTCTACAAGTCTGAACCCACTCTGTCAACCAGGCTTGTATCTACAGCATACATGCAAAGCTAACTTCAAAATGAATATTTAATCATTTCTTTTTAAGGCTGGGAACAGAATGGATCAAACATTGAATATGCTGTAATTTTCCAAGTTCTTCTGGTACGTTTTTTGACTCTGAAGTGAAGAAATAAGATATTTCTCAGCCCTTAGTTTTTCATCTTCAAAAAGACGAAATTCTTGAGAGAAGAGTTGTTTTGCTACCGGGTTAAAAAAAATACATCCCCCCCCAAAAAAAGCCCAAGTGCAGTTATTTTCTCTTTTCAGAAATACAAAATATGATACACTATGATCATTACTTTCTGCTGATCTTGAAGCAGCATATGGGCTGCCAATTTCATTTCAGGAATGGGGTAAAGAGACAGACCAGTTTCTCCTGATTTAGTTTATATACTTCCTTTAGAAAACATGGTGACTACCTGAAGACATATTTAAGACTCCTGGTGACTTCTTGAAACCACAAAATTCTAGTTATGAGAAAATGGCCACCTTGCCTTTCATCAGGTTAAGATCACCCAATTGAAAACAAGCAAACATCTGACAATTCTTTTCCTGGCAGAGTGTGCAAGACAGACTGTGTTGCCAAAACTTCCTGTTCTGAGGTGATATTTAGATTATAAGAATATGCACTAATAATAAATTATTTTTCATCTCCTTAGAGATACAGAATAGCTCTGAAAGTACACACAGACACAGAGTCAGCCACTGATGAATATTTCAATAAGACATTACCTTGCTTGTTTGTTTTATATTTTAATGTTAAATGATGTGCAAAGAAATCCCTAATATAGCATAACTTAAAAATATATATCCTCTAAAGTAAACCAAAACAACGACTAAATTGTGCCTGCGATAAGATTATTTCAGTTAAATCTCCCTTCAGGTTACTCAATCTGCTTGTTTATATAAATCTAATATTTATTTTCAATGTACTTAAATTATTTGCAGTAGGACACCCTGTTAAATAAATTGTATTGAGTTTGAGGGGAGAAGAAACTCTATTCTGGTATTTTATTTCTAAAGTGACAAAAGAGTAAGAGAAATATCGGGCTTTTTCAACCTCCTGAGATTTCTGATAGATTATTTAATGTGTGGTTTTGGGTATTTATTTTTGTTTTCCTCACTAACAAAATACATAGAAACACAGAAAAATATCCTACAGGAACAGTTGATTGAACTGGCCAGACACTGATGATAAAAATGAATCTACCAACAGGAAATTGGTGAAATTGAAAATGAGGGATTATCAGTGTAGTAATTATGATTTCAAGGAAAAGAAACTATTTCCTTGTGTCTTGAAACTCAGATGTAAAATATTTAGATAATATAGATTCAAATAAATTTTTCCAGTTCTAGTGTCACGGTAAAATCACTGCTTTTTTAGTCTGAAAACATTTCACTGGAACCTGAATACAATAAGAAATGAGAAATTGAGTGTTTTCTTAAAGGGGAAACCAAAATGAGATGGAAAGACAAAGAAACACTTAGGAATAATGTATGGAATGCAATCAGTTCATAACGACCCTGACTCAGGATTGTAGTTAGGAGAGGACAGAGAATGAGACTAATAGCTCTGTCTATGCAAATTCAGATATTCAAGTTCTTTAATATTAGAATTCCTTTTTCCAGCTCCCCATGACGGATAGCAAGTGTTAATACTGGGATTTAATGAAAGAAACCAAAGCCCAGAGCAGACCTTTACAGAACTGCTGATATTTGGATGCTCTAGACCCCGAGGCAGAGGTAGCCCATTGCTGTCCAAAAGGCAGAGGAACAGGAGTGCCCAAGCTGCACAGCCCAGCTCTGCACCCCTTACAGTGACTTTCTGGAGCAGCACAAGCAATGTGTGACATCAGTAGGGTAACATGCTGTGATGCTTTCCCAGACTGAGATTTTACAGCTTTGGTACAGGATGACAAAAACTTCCAGCAAACCAGAGCCCCTCAGGTCAATGGCCAGTGGTGAATCCCGTGGTGTGGCTGAGTGCCCTCTCTTCAGAAACACTTCACCATCTTCATGGGGCCAGTCACAGAAAGGCCCTCAAACCAGCAGCAACCTTTCCCTTTGGAAACAGAGTTGTATTCAGGCAATAACTGGGACTGGCATTCCCACAGCTATCCCAGGCTGGGATTTATGACCTTTCCAAGACTGATAATCCTAAAAAGGATTTGTGGGAACTTTGCCGAGCTCCCACATCCTCCAGTGATGCCTGTAGCAATGCTGTGCTGCTGAGGGACCTCTGAGATGGGGCTTGCCACGGTGAACTGAGCTCTCACCATTCCTGCAGGAAATAATTTCATTCCCATTACTGACACTGACATCATAGCTCTGTGAAATTATTCATTTTGTGATCCCAGCTATAGGACCATCTCTAAAGGAAGCAGTGGATTGGTGTGCTCCTCACCCTTCCTGTCAGCAGCCAGCCTCCCTCCCAGTGCCCAGTTTCCACCAGGGAAACCTGAGGGCTGAAGTCATTGAACCCTTGCCATCCAGTGCTGCTTTCACTCCTGCTGGACTGTCTCATCACACAGACGTACAGGAAATTCCTGGTCCTAGAACCAGAGGAAAATACTCAAACACAGAGTCACACTTTTGTCACTGGTGGTAAAGCCCCTTACCTCCTGGCCAAGACTTTCCACACGTGGCAGTAAACAAGTCTGAATGTGAAGATGCTGATTCATGTGTTCCTCACATATGTCTTTGCTCATCAAGCTGAGCTCTGAACAAAACATCTGTGAGAGAATTTTGTTTCAAGAAGTGTGAAAGAACATAAAAAAGCAGTGATTTTTTTATTGCCAATGTGTGAAGGAAACAGATCTCAAGCTCCTCTCCTCTTCTGATGATATACTGCTAGTCAGTGGTCTGAAATAATATGTGTATATTACCCAAGCTAGAACTTAAATTTTGAGAGATCTGATGACTCTGTTGATAAGTCAAGATTCATGTTCTCCCATGCATGGCTGGCAGGTTCAGCCAAGAGCCTCTCCCCCCATGTTTGTTACTGTCTGAGGAAATAAAAGGACTTGAAAAAAAATTATGGTATTCTTGTCTGAAATGTCTTTATAATGAGGCAGCAGAGGATGTGAGAAAATTTAAGATTTTTGCTAGTCTAGTCACTTATTTAAAATCAGTGGTGACAGGCCCAGTATGGTATAAAAAAAGACACCAATTAAATATTACTCATTTTTACTTCAGTTTTAAATGCAGAAGTTTCATATAGTTTGCACAGCCACTCAGACAAATAAGTAATAAAATCTTAGATGATGCTGGACTACAGGGCAAGCCCTACTAAAATAACATTCTTGCCTTATTTGTCTTTATACTTCTTGCACAACCAAGTATCTTTGTGGATGGTAGGCTGAAAGTCTGGGTCTGTGATAAGTCTTGAAAGGTACAACGATTTCTGTGGAATCATTGATTTGTGTTGTTGTTGTTGTTGTTTACCCCAATCTGACAATATTTTACCAGATATTGTCAGATATAATTGTTTTATGAGAAAAAGCAGCAATTAGGATGTCTTCTGTACAGGTTAACTCCCTGACCTCTCCTGGAAGCAGAAGCAAAAGGAGTGGCCCTGTTGAGCTGTTGAAAGCTTCCAATCCACCAGCTTGCATTCATACAAATTCCTTCATCAGCTCCACAAGAACAATTCCTTTATTCCATGTGAGTTGGAAGGCTTAGGAGCATGGCTAGAATACATTGTGAATGTTTACAAAGGCAATTCAGAGTCTGTATACTGCTTGGAACAAGGAAATCTGCACATCTTTCTTACCAAGACACGAAAAGGCTGGACTTGATGATCTCAAAGGTCTTTCCCAGCCTATCTAATTCTGTATCATTCATTCAGTCACCTTCCTGGTGTCTCCAACGTATAGTGAAAACACCCTGCTACCTGTCTCAGGACTAACCATCACCCAGAATGTAAGAAGTGCCCCTCCAAACACTGTGCATGGGTGTGTAGAGACGGATCTCCTGACCATTTTTCCCTCTCATTCAGCTGCAGGGACACCACGTGGAAAGCAGCGACCTGCAGAATGCTGGCCACTTTTCAAGGCTGATGAGAAATGCAGCTGACAAAGGTGCACAAAGTAGCAGCTGCCTCCTGGCTGTTTGGGAGGAACAAGCAAGGCATGAACAGCACAACTGCAGGATCAGAGACAGGCTTTGTAGTTCCAAACTTGTTGAATAACCAAGACAGACCAAGAGTCCAGCTGTTCCCATTAGCTACAGCGCTTTTCAGAGCCATCCCAGAATTCCTGTATTTACCTCCACTGTTGTTTCCCACAAAAGACCAGTGGGAAATGCTGTTTATTGTATTGCAGACTGATCTGTTGGGACAGCCAGATCTTCCCAGGCTTCAGCTGGGAACCCTGCAGGCTGGACTGACATAAAGAATTGGAGATTATGAGCCCAAACATGTTTATAAAGAATCACACTTCAAGTTCTTTTAATGGACTGCTTGTTCTCAAAAAAAAAGATCCTCACTATTGAACTTCCATAGAGCTGAAACCAATGGGATAAAAATGCTTTCTCCTACAAAATTCCAAATAAAACCTCTAAATGAGATACTGGTCAAAGAACTGGTATCTTGTTCCAGGAAGAACATTTAGGCTAACAAGTCTTTTAAAAAAAAAAAGAAAATTTGATTAAAGCAAATAATACCTATGTTTTTAGTTAATCAATAAGTACCAGAAGTGAAGCAAACTTTTCTGGTACATCTTCATCCACTGTGGTTTATTAAGGTCAAACATTTGCAAAGGAGGTTATTTCGAAACCTTGGATTACTGCAGAAGCACAGCCTTATCTAAATTAGTTCTGCCCACACTCTCAGCCAATAAATTTCTTCACCTGTTTACATATTGATTTTTTCCCATCTTTTATTTATTTCAGCTTTGAAAAGAGAAAAAGTCTATTAAGGAGCTAACAGGAAGTATGTGTTCAAAAAGATTATTTTTTCTTTTGTTGTCAAATGTGTCTTGAGTTGGATCACCTTACGAATGTAAATTAAAAGGTTTAAAATGTTGTGATCCAGTGTTGAATCCTAATTTGACTTATACAATACATTTTTTCATTCAAAACACAATGTATTATTTCTGTGTTATAATACCCTCCTGATCTGGATCACAACCCATGAGCTCTCAGCTCTCTCCTGGGATGTAGAAGAAGAATTATCTAAAAGATCTTTATTCTCTTTTTCTAGTCCATCCATTTTGCCTTCCTTTTTCTGAAACAAATAAAGCAGTGCAACATATATTTAGCAGCCCCATGGACACCCACAAGTGTGAGAGTTAATAATCAACAGCAGCTTGTGAGATTTCACAGATGGATAATTAAAAAGTCTATGTTTAATACTTCATGTTCTCTCTGGTTTGAGATGTGGACAGATTCGCATTCCTGTGACACTCGCTGCCAGGGCCTCTGATACCACCATGGAACGGTTCTGCTCCTTGATGCTCCTCAGATGCTCACAAATCACCTCTACTGATTCCACCTTGAGCATTTCCCCTCATCCAAAGGTGTGGCTTTTCTGGGAGATCAACAGAGTTACACAATCAAATGAACACTTGGACAGGAACTCTTGGTCGTTTACAGCTCATTAACAGCACTTTGTGATTAGTTTTTATTTCTGATGAAGCTGTTTTCTCACAGTTTTCAGAACAAAAAGTATTAGAGAATTTACTGTTCCTTGGAGACTCAGTTCTGAACCAGCTCTGGAGAACCAGCTGGGAGACTCATATCTGCCTAAAAGGACAGGGCAGAGACTTCTTAGTGTGGAATCAATGCATGCTGGGCAAATTTCTGCTTAGAAGCAAGGGTTGAGTGATCTGTGCAGCAACAAGAATGCAGCCAGCACCTCTGGTTCCTTGGAAAAGGCACAGCCACCTACACAATCCTACTGTGGTCTCACTTCTCAGTGTGTGACTTTAGGCAAAAGTGCTGAATGCCAGTACAGTGTGGTCCAGAGCTGAGGGGCAGCAACTCTAGTACATGAGTACATAAAAATAGTCAATTCCAAAAACAAGTGCATGAGTGCATAAAGAACAAAGATTACCGAAGAACAGACACCTTCCAGAGGTAAAAAATATGCAGATACTATAAAAAAAAAAAATCCCACCCTAAATCTCATAGTGGCTTCCCTATGAGCAAGTGTGTGGTTTTGATTGGCCTGTTCAAAATCAGTGGTTTTGTCTAAATATCCTCTCTTTGAGGACCTCCTCCCACCACAAGTGGCAGAGAGAAATGTGACAGATTCAGAGAAACGGGTTAGCAGATACCTGCCTTTAATTTAACCCACTGTTCCAGTGGTTAGGCTCCAAGGAAAATTATATGGTTTTATCATATTCAATAAATTTCAATAAATATTTTCAACAACTGTGTAGTTGCAGCAAATGGCTGCAAATGCATTGATGGTGAGAGAAACATATGAGAAACCCAGTTGTCTTCCAGTACCTTGTGTACAAAACTTAGGAGAAACGAGAATAACTTTATATCCTGCAGGTGTCTTTTGGAAGCACAGAAAGTTTTCTAAAATTGACTTTACATTGTATCACTGATTGCAAGGCTCTGGATAATAAGTTCTGCTGCAGCTTTAATTCATTGACCTGATAAGGCTCATTGGTTGTCACAGAGCTCTGAAGTGCTGCTTCAGGGTGTTTTCTGGGTAGAGATTTCATTTTAGACAGGACAGAATCAAGAATCAAGAAACTTAGGTCAAAGCATTTAAGCCACCGAATAATGAAGTCAGAGCAGTAGCATCTTACACCTGCAATGAATATTGTGATTGGCTACAGAAGAAAAATAGTCAGCAAGGAGCTGGCAGAGCTGAGTTCCCTGCTGTTTTAGGCAATTGGATCAGGCTGTGGTATCATACCTGCCTTTTAGGATGACTGAACTATCCAGCAGCAAGCTTATTGTTTTTGGTCTAGTGCCCACTGCTCCAGCACACTGCCCTTTTGCTCTGAGGGTTGTGAGTGCTCACTGTGCTTTGAGACAACAGCTTTTATTTCAAACTAGACCAGGCAGCAGGTCCACACCCAGCCTCCCAGGGTACCCCAGCTGACATCCTGGGACTCACCTGCAGGTCTGAGCTCAGTGCCCTCCTTCAGAGCTTGTTTCTAACACATGACCAAGTCATTGAAGAAATTCCCTGCTTTCTTTGTTGTGATTTGTTCCAGATTTTTTTCTACCTTGAATGTATTTCCATCTCATCAGCTACCTGGTTTTGTTCTCAGGTCAATAATCTCTCCCTTGCTGAAAACAGGCAATTTTATTTTAGGGCCATGAGTAATGTCTGCAGCCCTCTCTTCTTTTCCATATGTCACTGGCAAGGTTTTTTGCTCTTCTTTAGCCACACTGGTATCCAGATCAATATGATGAAGTAATTATCACTTTGTCCTGACTTTTTGTGCTGTAGCTTAATTTTCTGGTTAGATTCTTCTGTGTTGCTTTAACTCATAACTCCCAATTTCATTTCAGTGATTTCATAACCCATTTGAACACACAGCCCTTTGCCTTGAAGGCTTTTTCTGTTGTTCCTAAAATAAACTCCAGATGAGATTTCTACCTGTAACTTGAGGACACTGCTAGTATTTAAATGCTTTGGAGTAGCTGACATCTTTTCAAAGCTATTTTGGACTCAAGAGCCTTAATACAATGGACACTGCCCTAGCTTTATTAATCATTCTTCCTTTCCCCAATAGTAATGCCACAGAGCCTCAGCTACTCAGCCCTACAATAACAGAGCAATCCCAAAGAGTCCTCGAACATCCTTCTTAATCCTCTTAATTTGTTGTTCTTAACCCATGACTAAGGGAGGCACTTGACTGTGTCCAGGCACATCCACCACTGCACGAGCTGAGGCATTTCTGCAACAAAAATTCCCTCCTCAGCTCCTTGAAAGTTTCTCTGCCATTTCCACACTGCCCTCCCAGCTCTGCTACTGTCAGCCAGCCCATTTTTACCTCAGTCAGCTCTTACAATGGCCTCTAAAATATTTTCCTCTTGTTCTAAAAGACTTTGCTCCTATCTTTGAGCTGCCAGCTCACCAAATCCCCGTGTCCCACAGAGGCTGACCCTGCTCCCAGCCATCCCTGTTTACATGCTGCCTCCATAGAGAGCAGGGCAGCCCCATTCCAAGGTGCTTTTCTCAGCTCTCTAGTGCAGGGTTTCCAACTCAATCATACTTATTTACAGGCCTATTTCTACCCTTCTCTTTAAATTCTCCTTAACTTGTAGTTGATAACAATTCAGTGCCATTTGTAGCTTAAAACTACCTTACCATTCTCACCCTAAGCAGTTTGAGTCCAGAAGTTTCTATTTCAGCCACACTTTGCCATCTTGCTTCCATCCCACTACATGCATTTTCTGTTTCTCCTGATTTGCACAGGTCCTTCAGTTTTGAAATTGCAATTAAATCCTTTATTCCGCTGTGGTTTTTGCCATCCTAGATATCCACCCTCAGGTTCTGCCCCAGAAGCTCCCATTTCTCCACTTTTCCCCATGTTCCTGTCACTAATGCAATTGGCATTGCAGGCTGGCTCATTAATCACACCCATTCCCTTTACAGTCTTTGTGACCACACTTTCATCAGCTGCATCCCTTATCTTATTGCACTTCTCACTAGTTTTGTCACCTCATTTCTTATTGTCTACCACAGTATCCTTTATTTCTGCATTTTTTTTTTTCCATTTGCTTATATATTGAGGAAAGAAACCTAGAAGGCATTAATGTTTCAGGCACAACTAATATAGAAGTCCCCTCTTACATCATCTATCCTGATTGCAGTACTCAGGAGGTTAAATATGGGCTTCAGGTGGTAATAAAAGTAATTCATGGTGCAAAAATTCATCAGTGCTTTGCTGCTATTTTACATGCTACTCTCTAAAGCAGGTGTCCTAATTAGAATAAATTAAGTCTTCTTATTTTTTTTAATAATAAAGTGTATTTTTGACAGTAATAGTAAAACTACTTGCTATATTTTTTTCCATGACTCATTTTAAGCATACACTTTACAGCCACTGCCAGGGCCAATGTTAATTGTGCCTTGCACTATATCTTGAACTCTTCTTGAAGAACTGCAAGTGTTTAAGTAGGCTAGATTTTCTTTTTAACCTGCCTTCTAGCTTCAAAAAAATGTAATAAAGTCACCTAAAAGAGACAATGAGGTGTGTGGGACTTTCTTCTCTCATGCCTTATGAAAGAAGTGATTAAATTTCCTTTCCTTCCTGCTATTATTTTCACCACAAAATACATGCAAGTGTATCTCTTTTTCAAATCATAGGAAATTGGTATCTGTAGATTGAGCAGAGCTGTAAAACACAATTTCAGAAATAATATAGTGCAAAACTGATGAGGAAATTCCTCATGATTTTTGAAGTTCTTGGTGAGATTCCTATGCTCACATGAACATTGAAAGAAAAAATGGAACATTAAATATTTGTTCTAAAAGGTCTTCAGAGACTCTTCCAGCTGAAAAAGGTTTGTCTGTTCCTATTACTACTGCATTTAGATATAAGCAGTGGATACAAAAATAGGCCCATAAACCTTACCTTTTGCTGATTTTGAGATTTCTGGAAACGTTTGTTGTGATAACATTTCCTTCCTTTGAGGGCCACAGTCAGAGCTAACAAAAGATGAAGAGAAAACAGTCAACTTTCTCAAAGCAGTTTTGCTTTTTAAGTTCTCCCACTTTTCCAGGTGTGTTTCCTTTTAGCTGATGCAGGTGACCTGCTGACACCCCTCGTTCTTCATGTACTGGAAATTGCCAGCTGATAAAATCACCAAGTCAAGAAGATGGAGTAGGGACCCATTTTGCATGAGCACAGAGTGTTTTACTTTCCAAAGCCAAACAAATCATTAATTTCTCACAGGTTTTGTTGTTAATCCAAGTTGTTTGCAGAGATGTAGAGATCAATGGAAAAGCAAGTTAGAGGGTTTTTTGACAAGGACTTCAAAGAAATGTTCCAAAGGTGTCAGATCCATTACTTGGAAAACACCTAGGCCAGATTAGAAATTTTTCATCTGAATTATTTTTCAAAGGTAAACTGAGTTTTGACTGAACTCGATGAGCAGAACTGCAGAAATGTTTGATACCAGTTTGAAATTCATCAGTGGTTTAATTACTTGGTAAAAAAATGGAAGGACTTTCTGGTTTATTCAAGAAACACTGTGTGCAGGGTTGAAGAAAAAAGTATTTTCTTTTTTCATTCTAACAACTGGAAAAACCTGTGAAAAGTTAGAGATATTTCATCTTCATTTTTTTATATATCCAAGCGAGCTGAACAAAATTAATTTACATAGGAGAGAAACTGTTTTTGTCCTAGGATGGTATCCCAACAGACATTTTAATATAAAAAGGAATACATTTGGTATATCAACTGATTTTATTCATTTTTTTTTAAAGATGATGTGGGTATTGCCAAGAGTCTATACCCCATTAAAAAATAGCAGTAGAAGCATTAGTGACTGTCTGCATATAACAACATTTTACCATATCAGCCCTTTGCAGAGACTCAAACAAGTATTCATGCAATTGTCTTTTTGCCCTTGTGTCAGAAATAGTCAAAATTTTGCTCAGCCTTTCCCAGCTCTTATTTTAATGCATTATGCAGCTTCTCCAGGAACAGAATCGTAGTTCAGCTCTGACAGTGTGAGTTCACACTGCAGGAAGGCTTCTGTGCCAGGGCACTTCAGCCACAATGCAGCATTTTCCTCCCTGAAGACCTCATATCTGTGAGCACAAATTGGATAGATAAACTCCTTAGCATGGAGTTCTCCTCGGCAGAACATGTGAATGCCCTGCAAGGATGGATTCCCTGCCACAACACACACAACCCCCAGCCTGCCGCAGCTGCTTTGTTACCTGTGAAATCTCTGCACAGGGAACACTCTGCATCTGACACTTCCCCAGGAAAGACAGACTTGGTTTAATCCCATCCGTGTTTTACATGCGAAGCAGGAGTGTTTGATTTATACCACCAAATGTCCTGCAAGTGCCAACAGAACAAGAGTGAAGCAGCTCTCAGTGGCACAGCGCTGAGAGACTGTGGGAAACAGCCACAGGCTGCTTTCTACCAGCAAGAGGAGATATCTGGAAGGAAATGCAAGTGAACACGGATCCTTGATTAGGAAAGGATTTCATTCAGGATCTATGGCTTACTTATTTACACAAGAGCATGTGTAACATAAACCAGCTTGTTGTTTTGTGAGCAATTACTCTGGGGTTTTTATTAGTGCTCTTTTATAAGTACTGCAAAAGGAAAATATTTTAGAATTGAATTATGCTCATCTCTTTCAGGAAACATTTTTATTTAGAAATATATCTTAGCCTTTTCTGCAGGCATTAGTTATAAAACAAAAATATTTTATGTACCTATTTAGGTGTGGATCAATAAAACTTCTTTTCATGGCCATTGTGTTGATGCAGTAGTGACTGCTGGATTTGCCTCACTCTGTCTGCAATCCTAAACACTTAATTCAGAAAACTCCATCCTGCTGTAAACTGTAATGCTACAAGTTTGGGATTTAAGTGGATGTAGAAAACACAGTGAACCCAACACACAGAAAGCTGAATGCAGGATCTGTTTGATTTAAAATCAAATGAAATCAAATGAAAAAATGAAAGCAGAATACTACAGCAGCTTCTCTTAAATGCTCTATTTAGAAAAGTTTCTCAGGTTGCTCTGTATCATGTTTGCCTCATTTTTAGTAACCATTCTGAATCATTCCATAAAACAGAACAGAAAATAAATTTGATGTGGACGATGGGAATTTCTAATTCATTCAACTCTGCTTTACAAATTCACTCATCAGTTTAATGTCACAAACCAGCAGCAGAATGGGTACTGATACCAAGCCTGCCCCGTGGCTTCAGAGGCTGCAGGGAAAATTGTGAGTTGTGGGGAGATTTGTCAAGCCCCAGAGAAATGCTCATCTCTTTTTCCCACTGTGAGACAGCAACTTGAGGATCAAAATCTGTGAAGTTTAGAACTCTGAGAAATGAATTTCCAGTTAGACACAAATGGAGCTCCCAGAACCGAGAAACATCAGAGTTTAGTTTGCACAAAATTAACATTGCCCTCTGGGGAAGTCCACAATAATTTGGCCTTTAATTAGTCCCAATAATCAATTTTTGGGACTTCCATGGGACTCCAGAACTGATCTAGCAGCCTCCAATGGAGGAATGAGCTGTTCAGTGGACTTACAGCATCATTTTTTGGCTGTCCTCAGCTCCTCCCTCCTGCAGACTGCTGCCATGTGGTTCCTGTGGCTCACACTGACACAGGCTGGGGCGAGGAGTGTCCCTGCAGTCACCACCCCCAGACTGAACAGGACACTGCCACTCATAAAAACACCTCCATAAAAAACACCTGTGCTGCCTTGCTGAGGATAGCACTGCCCCTTTAACCAAGAGATACAAAAACAAGTGGAAAAACTGGGAAAGTGTTGACTTTCTGACTGCCATGGTTTAGGTTTGTGACTGGTGATGTTTTGCAAGAGCTTCCTTTCCTCATTTCTCTTAAAAGCAGAAAACAAATACTACAAATAAACTGTGACAAAAATCAAAAAACCTGCTCAGGTGGAACTATTTGCTTAACACCACACAGAAATCCATCTCCCTCCAGCCCTACTCCTTCCTCCTCGAAGAGCTACACCTGTGTCCTACTCCCAGGGAAAGACAGCAATGTCGCTACAGCATCCCACTGTACCTAAAAAAAATAATTATAAAATCACCTTTATAATGGGAACCCATAGCTTACTTTAACTCTATCTCTCACATACATCAGTACAGCTCTGTTTAAAGGGAAGAAAAGTAAACTCTTGGAAAAATTCATACATAATGAAGCAGATACCACAGCCAGGGTATAGTCAATTTTAGTTAAGTAATAAAGGTGAGTAATATTAAAAAAACCAAACTACACCAATAAGAGAATGAGCAAAGGCAAAACCAAGAGAAAAAATCCACAGCATCTCAGCTTTCCTGTAAATGACTGCACTAATAAAGGGTGCTGAGGGAATAAAATAAGAGGAAATAGAACACTCAAGTCAGAAACATTTCTAAATATTCACTAATATGTTTGAAAACTTTCCAGAAGATGCCAGTGACTGTTGGAACAGGGCAAATCTATTTACATGTTTCTAGTGCAGAGGCAGTCATGTTCATGGCAGATGTTTGTCAGTCACACTTTACATGCCCCAAAAGAGATATCTTACCCAATTAAACAAAAAAATGCATTTAGGGCAACTCTTGGTCACATCTGGCTAAGAGCAGCTGTGTTGGACAAAGGTAGACAAATTCTCCTGTTATGTAAGAAACATCACCCTCCCATGAAACACTAAGATGGGAAATTTGTTAAAATAATTGTGGTTTGGTTTCCTCTCTCTTCTCCTTGGAAAGATACTAATTCACTTAACAAGCAAGAATTGTCTTCAGGTTGGTTTAGTAATTTTTCCCTTCCTGATTTAGCCTAATGTAAGATGTAAGGACTGGATCATTAAAGGAAAATGAACATTTCAGCTGTAAGATGCCTAATGTAAGATGTAAGGACTGGATCATTAAAGGAAAATGAACATTTCAGCTGCCTACAAAGGTGACAGAGAAAAGAAAAAAGAAACAAAGATATGAAGCTAAAACTGGGACAGAGAAAACACCCAGGTTAAAAATGAATTTGATCATTACATTTCCTAAAAAATTCAGAAAATAAGTATTAGTTGGCTGTTATATTAAATTGAGAATGACAAGCAAGTGCTAGAGCTAAAAGGGCAATTTACAGTCCAATATTTACAAACAGAGACTTCTGAGCATTGCACACACCAAGTCTCCATTTCTGCAGCGTGTAAGCACAGGGCTCTGGAGCCTGGAACGCCAGGGCAAGCAAAGGATGCTTGAGGTGTCACAGGCTTCTCTGTTCACTGAGGAATTCATTACAGATGGGCTGCAACAGACAGGAGTTTTATTGCAAAGCATGAAGCTCCAGCAGTGCTGGCTGTCTGGACTAAGACGAGAAAGAATTTAAAGCTTCTAGCCCAATCCCTCTCTTGGGCTTCTGTATGAAAAATCCAGGACTGAAGGAAGAATGGGGTGACTTTTTCCATCTCCCAACTGCCTAGTCTAACTGAATTCCTCCCATCCCATTTAGGAGAGGAATGGGATAGTTGTCTCCATGTAATTGGTCTAATTGCAGAAGGTTCACATCTCAAATGTAAAGCGGCTGTAAAATGGCTCATACCTTTGCAGATTCTGAACATTTAGATTGGAAAAGAGTGCAAAAAATCAATTTCTCTAACTAGGAGACAGACAGCAGATGAGGGGGTCGAAAGAGTGGTCAGAGAGGGTTCTGGGAGTGCCTCAAGGTTTGCTTTAATTGACAGACGCATTCGGTTATGAAAATGCGCAATTTGCTTTAACCGACACACAATTCTCTTCTCGCTGTAAACAGGTACTTAAAAAGAGCTGAATACAGATGAACTTGTTAGTATTTGTTAATTTAATGCCTGCAGTCACTTCATTTACCACTTTTAAAAGTTTAGAAACACAAAGGCAAAACATAAAACTGATGGAGAAGGCTAAGTGAGAGAACTGAAATCATGAAGTACAACTGAAATCAGGACTTCAGCCTTTACTGCTCAAGAGCTGCTTCAGGTTGTGGCCAGAAACAAGAAACCAGAGTGTCCTCTAACAGAAGGAGGAGTCAAGAAGTCCCCACAAAATGCTTCCTTTCTTCCTTAAACTTGCCATCAGCTGCTTCCTTCCTCCTACACTCATCTGCAAATCTCATCCCCTTAGTACAAAGAAAAGAACAGAAATCTGTGCTTGTATTTTGCCTTTGGCTGAAATGAGAAAAACTCTTGATAGCAGAAACCCCCTAATTTTTAATCATTATAATTTGTAATTATTACGGCCACATGCTAATGTATTCCTAAACATCCAAATGAAAGATAAATGATTTGAAAAAGACTGCAAGGCAGATGCCACCAGCCTAGCAGGTCAATGAAACCAGCTAGTAATTAAAGTTTTCTAAAGAACTCATTCTTTCTGATTTCTTTTCAGCAACTTCAAAAGACAACACAGAGGGGGTCCTTCCTTTAAATGCAATGATATTTATCAAATCCATTTGTAAATATTAGTTCAGTTAAAACAACAAATAAGATATAAAATGTAATTAAGTTCTGTATAGATTTCACTTTCATGGAAGACTAAGAACAGCAAGGAAGAAATGATGCTATTCTGTTGCTAGAGCTCATAGGAACCACTAATGATTTCAAAAGCCCACGACTCATCAGCTACAATTAAAACAATTGCAATGACAGTGACCTCATCAGAAGACAAAATATAATTGCATAGGCAGCAAACAATACAGAGAGATGAAGCTGGAATACAGATGTTACTGATTCATGGGTTGCCTAAAAGAATAATTCTCCTGCTGGTGTATTTGTGAGTACTTAACACGGAGGTACAGCAAGGATGGCTGGCCAGAAAACAGCAATTCCAATGCACTGCACATCTCTGGTGGAGGATCTGACTTCTGCTTTGGAAAAAGACATCAGTGTAGACTGTTACTGGAGGGAAAGTAACACAGCCCAGAACAGACCCTGCCAGCAGGTGAGCCATGTGCTGCACACAGCCAGCCTTGGGGTTTGGAACATCTCACATGGATTTGCTTGTGCACTTATTATTTTTAGTAATAATGAGCAAGGACAGGCCAGCTTCAGCAGAACACCTTCCACTGGAAAAAACAGCTTTGTACAATTTTCTTAATTGTAGCCCTGATGGGCAGCTACTTTGATTAACTGGCAAGATGAGCAAAATTTTCAATATTAAAGAATAGTGGAATTAAAAAAAAAATAAAAATTGTGTGTCACTATCTTGCCATTATGCTCAGGTAAACTTTCTTTCCCATTTTTTCCCTCAAAATCTTTGCTCTCAATATAATCATCTTGTGCAGGTCCGTTGTCCTCTCTTCACTTGCTGACTAATCACAGCACA